GAACTTCACTGTTATCTTTGTTTCCTTCTTGCTCTTGACCCACCACGTTTACCAGCTGCCACAATGACAACCCCTTGTTAAATCTAGTTGCATGGGTTTTGAAGCGCTAATGAACTTTGGAGCCCTCATACATGTACATTTACAAAGATATTCATACATAAACACACACACACACACTCACATACACACACACACAAACAGGGCCGAATTGGCCAAAATATTGTAAATGTTTAGAGCATCAATAGATCCTAAACTTTGCATTCCGTAAATATTTAAAAGATGTTTGCCCCCCCCCCCCTCCGCCCCCCCTCCCCCGCCCATAGACCTCTAGAGCCATTTTAACAGCATTTATGACCCCTGGACAAACCAGTACGCTGAGGCCCCTAGACAACCATTCACAGGAATATCATGTTAATAGTCATTTGACATACACCTAGCATGGCGCCCATAGCCTCGTGGCTATTCTAGCAGAAACAGCAGAAAAATGTTGGTAAAGCATGTGATCTACAAACCCTACACAAAATTACCCAACAAATTTGCAGAAGCAAAAAAAATTACCACAGCATGTATATTAGAGATAACTAAGGCACATTGCTTACAACAGAACATAAACAAAACTTGCAGTGGACTAAACACTTCTCCAACCTCTTTAAAAGACCTAATCCTGAACATCCCCCAGATATTCAACCAGCCTCTCAGGATCTTGACATTATTATTAAACCACCAAACAGACAAGAAATCCTTAAAGCTATCCACACTTTAAAAAACAACAAAGCATCAAGCAAAGACGAACTGCCAGCAGAACTTCTTAAAGTAGATCCCAACACAACTGCCAGCCTTCTAGAACCATCGTTAATGGCTATTTAGGAAAAAGAAATGTTGCCTGGTGACTGACTGAAAGAACAATAGTCCGAATGCCCAGAAAGGGAGATTTAACAGACTGCAAAAATTGGAGGGGAAATTACTCTACTCCCAGTACCAAACTAAAATTTTTTTTTTTTTAAATCATCATAATGTAGAGGGAGTAGATAAATCTCTACGAGTGGAACAAGCAAAATTAAGAAAGGGCAGAGGAACAGCCGAGCACATCTTCACCCTACGTAACATTTGAGAACAATGCAATGAATGTCAAGGAAGTATAAAAATTAATTTTTTTGGACTTTGAGAAAGCTTTTGAAGTGGACCATAGAGACAGTCTCTGGAAAATATTACAACACTATGGAACTCTAGAAAACATAGTTAACATAAGTGCTCTCTTATGGAAAGACTTTTCCTGTAGTATTTAAAAAACGACAAACATCTTTCCCAGTAAAGACAGAGATGTATTATGTCATCCCTCCTCTTCAACCTTGTGATGATTGTACGCCAAAGAACACAGTAAACAAGACATCGAGAGGCATACGATGGACACCCTTCACCATGCTCGAGGACCTTGATTTTGCAGATGATATAGCGCTCCTCTCACATAAACATGAACATATACAAGAGAAAAGTAACAGACTACACAGCACAGCAGACATGGTGGGCCTGAGTATAAATACAAGAAAAACAAAGATCATGACAAACAGTTCAAACCAACAACCAGTGACCATAAACAACTAAACAGTTGAAAATGTAGAATATTTCACATATCTTGGTAGTGTGGTGTCCCAGCTAGGAGGGACAGGGGAAGACATACAATCATACTTGAACAAAGCCAGAGATGCTTTTAGAAGGATGACGTAAATTTGGAAATCCAACAATTACTGCAGAGGAACGAAACTCCGACTCTACAAGAGCATCATTTTGCCAGTTTTTCTGTATGAAGCAGAATGCTGGAGAAATACCAAAAAGGATGCGCACAAGCTGTCCACCTTCCACCACACATGTCTTCGTAGAATTATCAAGATTTTCTAGCCAACAGTAAACTATTTTCAGTCACAAACCAAGTAACTCTAGACAGTATGATAACCAAGAGAAGATGAGAATGGCTTGGCCACGTTATGAGAATGAATCCTGATATACCTGCCAAAACAGCTCTCACGTGAATACCAGAGGGGAAGAGAAAGAAGGGGCGCCAAAAACCACATAGAGATGAACGATGGAAAGTGACCTGAGTGCTGCATCTCTGACATGGGAAACTGCACTGAAGACTGCACAGAACAGGAAAGCATAGAGAAAGTCCTCTCTGAAGCCTCATGTGCCACTAGGCATAAAGATAACTGATGATGATGATGTTCATTGTCCACATTTCTGCATCATTTAGCAGGACTGAGTACATATGTCATTTGACGATTCTAATGTTTAGTATCCCTTACCAGCCCGCTAAAACATGACCAGTCGCTTCTGGTTTCATTACCAAGAAAAAAAAATAACAGCTTTTTGAGTTGTAATAAATAGTTTATTTTACTATAAATTGTATAAAACAGGTTACACATTAGTTTAATAGATTATTAATGGAAGAATATACATTAGCTGGCTATTATAAATGGTGCGTTTTCCTGGCTGAACAGTTGAAGCCGGTTGACTCGTCCTCTGAGGAGAGTGTTCAGTTTTCGACTCTGCTGTTCGGTTCATGAGTGAAAAGAGGTTTCATTTTTCTGGGAGTCGTCTTTGGAGCTGTAGAGCCTCGTGCTTTATTTTTGAAGGGAATTCGTGTCAAAGATTCATCATTATCTGCAGCCTTTGTCGTATTGCGGTGGTCATATCAGCTCTATCCATGTTTCTTCTCGTATGTATTGATACATAACTTGCCAGCTGATGGGTTCGTTCATTACCTTTTACTCCTGCATTTCCAGTTGTCCCCAGGTCACGAATTCATGTTAGCGCCAGAGACTCGTCATTATCCACAAGAATGGTTCATACAACGTTGACGATATCAATCTGCCCGTGTTTCTTCCTGCATTACTTGCCATTTAGACCGCTCGTTAACTACCTTAGTGCCCGTTATGCCCCAATCCAGGAAAGTGAGGTGAAGTGCAACTTTCAAATTATGTCTACCCATTCAGTGCAGAGAATTTCTCTTGCGATTTTATTAAACATGTTCATGGAGCCTGTAGACAGAGACTGCGACAATCCAGCTGCAACACAACTGTTCCTCTCGTCTTTAAAAAAAAAAAATATGTATAAATAGAAATGGCGCAGCCATTGAGCACAGGAAAGACGCATATTCGTATTTACTCAGACTATATGATAATGTCTACAGCTAAGACTGCTGAGCTGGCTGAAGGTTTTAGGTTCGAATCCCCACACAGTTGAATGTTTTTTTTTTTTTTTTTACAATTATACCATTACTTGAACTAGGCCAAAATCAGGCAGCAGGTAATGTCCTGGGAAGTAAAGGAGACCTATATTATGTTGACAACATTACTCATGTGTACCTCAGAGCCTCAGCTGGTCAGGCAGGCATGTGTAGTTTTCTTGGAGACACCACAGTTGATAGATTTTTGTGTATTTTTATCTTTAAATGTAACATTGTATATTTATGTGTTGTGCTGAAGAAGCCTTTAGCAGCCAGCCAGAATTCCAGTATTGACGGTACCTGTCACAATCTGGTTATAAATCTGTCTTGCCTTTCCTCTGAGTGTAGTCAGCCTGCCAGACCCTCTGGTTTCACCCAGATGTCTTATTCTCTCCAGGCCATAATAATCTTAGGTATTCTTTATTACTGCAACAATGCTGGTCGCTTTCCCTAGATTCTATCCTAGCTTCCTGTCTAAGGTTTCCACATTCTAGCTAGTAGTGTTGCTTCTTGTGACCCTCGCTGCTAACTTCCACAAAAATCACACTATAATCTTTCAAACAACGTTTAGTATACTTCCGTTAGCTTGTCATTCTGATGGTAAATGTAGGCGCCTAATTTGCTATCGCAGCGACAATATATAACATCAAATGTCACACAAAACCTGTTACAAAGTCACCATTTCGTCTTGTCCCTGTCCGAACGTCTGATAAAGTGCAGCAGAGGAAAAATGTGGTCTGGCGTCATGAACCTCGTCGGCCCACATTCCGATATTGTATAGGAAGTAATGGGCCAAAAAAATCGTCGACAAGGGACCTTTCTAATGATGATCGGCGGACCCCTACTGTTTATGCTCCCCTGTGGAGTTTTTCTTACAGTTAACTTCATTGACTCCATCAAAACCATCCTCTACGAGCTATGCTAGGCAACTGACCAAGAGCCAACCTAGGGTCTTTGCTCGCCCAATTCTCCAGTCCCGAGTCTCCCGTACCGTCGCCTCTTGCACGGGTTTTCTGCCCGGCTTGCACGGACCGTGGGCCACCATTCAAACTGTGGTCATCACAGTGACTCACTTTCTTTCTACAGACTAACAGAAAGAACAATGTTATCTATGAGTTACTTCAGTTCTAACACTTCCTAGTGATTAATGGAGAACTAATAGACACATCGTCAACAATTCAACGCATACAGATTATATTTGTTAAAACTGTACAGGGGTAACAATATGAAATTACCATAAATAATTAATTACTCCTATTACAAACAGCATATTGATACCAGCACTGTGCTACCGCGGCCAGACTTAGACATTATCAAAGGCTGACCTAGTTAAAAAGGAATACGGGTGAACTGAGATGCCTGATGACACCAGCAAGCTTAAGAACCTGAGACAAAGTTAGAAATTATTATCAGACAGACTGTAGAAACAACTCTATGCAGCAAATTTATTGTGAAACATAACATCCTAATAGTTTGGTTATCTAGTAAGAATGCAGCCAGAACAACTGCGGACGCAGGCGCTACACATGAAGTAATCTTAAGTGAAAGCAAAAGGCAGCCCTAGAAGAACATGAATTGATGACATTAAAGTGATATATAGACACGGAAGGACAATAGCCATTGCTGAGCATCAGGCAATGGATCCCAATCTGTTCCTCCCCGCGTCTCTTAATGACAGAAAAGGAAATTAATGATAATGAATAATTAATAACTAGAAAGGGGTAATTTAGGTTTGTGAGGCACCCGGTTGAGACAGCCTGGTTCAAATCGTTAAGTATCTTCAGGTCGCCTTTTGAAACTGTTTAATAAAAGGAACCATGTAGGATCTGGCCTCGGCACACTTGGTCTTGTAGATGCCATCCATTCCAAAGAAGATGTGGGGAACACCCTCGATGACGTAACTTGTAACGTTAGCTCCAGCTGCCTTGGCTTTCTCTGCAAATTCCAGGCCACCGTCTCTGTAAACAGATACATCATAGATAACACTGGTCCCTCTGTGGTTTCTAGGATCCCATTGTGATAGAGAAAAAAGGAACTGACCCACTACCTATTGACAAGAACGTCGTGGAATGTGACAAATTAGGAGTTTGATATGTTACGCCGAAAGGTGTAGAAAGCATACACTAGCTATAAACGACTGCAGACAATTTTTGAATCTTCTTCTTCTTCTTCTTCTTCTTCTTCTTCTTCTTCTTCTTCTTCTTCTTCTTCTTCTTCTTCTTCTTCTTCTTCTTCTTCTTCTTCTTCTTCTTCTTCTTCTTCTTCTTCTTCTTCTTCTTCTTCTTCTTCTTCTTCTTCTTCTTCTTCTTCTTTTGCTGCCGCTGCTGCATCTATTGCTTCTTCTTCTTCTTTTTCTTCTGGTTCTTCTTCTGATGCATCTATTGCTTCTTCTTCTTCTTCTTCTTCTTCTTCTTCTTCTTCTTCTTCTTCTTCTTCTTCTTCTTCTTCTTCTTCTTCTTCTTCTTCTTCTTCTTCTTCTTCTTATTCCTATTCCTATTTTTTCTTTTCCTTTCCTTTTTCCTTTTCACCACCACCACTACCTCCTCCTCCTTCTGTTGCTGCTGACACTACTACAGCTATTTTTCTTTCTCCTCCTACTCTTATCCTTTTCATCAACCACCTACTGCTGCTGCTTCTACTACTACTACTACTACTACTACTACTACTACTACTACTACTACTACTACTACTACTACTACTACTACTACTACTACTACTACTACTACTGCTACTACTACTACTACTACTACTACTACTACTACTACTACTACTACTACTACTACTACTACGACTACTGCAAATTTGCAGTCATCTATATTGCATTGTAATTTAGTTTAAAACCACATTTTTTTTAAAAAAAGTAAAAGACCATTTTCTACGCCTTTGGGCGTATAGGGCATATAGGGCTAGACCTATATTTTATAGACCAATCGGCACAAGATGGGTGATGTGGTCAGGATCACAGTGGACGCCTTTACTTAGCAGGACTACTCCCTGTGCCCATTCAAGACTGTGTCGACCTGGCAGCCAAGGTCATTTTTGGAAAAAGTTTGACATCGCCAGGGAGCTAACACACTACCTTTTGATCCCCAAGCGAGCGTCTAGGCGCTCCGCCACGGCGACATCCCCGAAACAACATTGTTACTTAAATAAAACATTTCCATTGATACCTCTCAGGATCGAGCTGGGCAACTAAAACCAAGGTTGGCGGAAGGTTCTTCAGGTTAGTTCTTGCCAGTGGACACACTCTTGGGTCCGTGGCTTGGTTGGGGATCGCCTGCTCCACTAGTTTAGTGAAATATTGTAGATCTGGATGAGGCAACACTGGGATGCTTTTAAACTCCTGTATAATTTGGAGAGAAAAAACATTACGTAGTAAAGAAGTTTGAAAACCCAGTTTAACGCGTGTAGTTTAAGCCTTAAAAGTCTGTGGCTAAGCACCAGCAAGAAGATCGAAATTAGAATTTTGAGAGCATACATCTTCAATGTGGCTACATACGGAAGTGAGTCGTGCACTATGTCCCAGTCCTTAAGAAAAAGAATAGGGGCTTTTGAGCTGAAATGCTATAGAAAGATTCTTTGAATATCTTGGACAAAGACAAGGGGAAATACTGACATCTTGAAAGATCTGAACATCAAAGAAGATTTGCTAATAAACAGCATCCTGTCTCGTAAGCTGACATATTTTGGACATTTCAATCGCCACAATGGATTAGAAAAAAATTATAGCAGAAGGCATGGTACCAGGAAGGAGGAGCAGGGGCCGACCGACACGAAGACCGGCACAGGGTATAACTGACTCCTTGAGTATGAAAGTACATGAAGCGGGAGAACTGGCAAGAGACCGAGTTTCTTCCAGGCAGACTGTAATAACAGCGACGTTCTGCAAAGGACCTGCTACATGACGATGATGAGTTTAAGTATTCTTCTCCTTAACCTTCACCGTGTATTAGCTCTAGCGAGGTCTCAAGGCATGGTGTTCGCCTCGAGTGCTAGGTTCTGGGTTCAATTCCTAGTAAGGGCTGGGATTTTTTCACGTGGACTTCTAGTAATTCCCCCTGATTTCTGGGTAGTTAAATTGGATGCCCGTGTGCATTGGTGCTCATGAAAAAAAATTATCTTGGCGGTTGGAAATCGAAAAGAGTAACTTAACGGCGCTGCCCGGGCTAAATTTGAAGTTTAAAATCTACCAGAAGTATTTCAAGGTCCTCACCGGTGCTACAGAGCCTGTACATTGTGCTGAGCTTCTTCGGACTCAGACTTGAGTTAGAAGAAGAACAAAGCAGTTATAGGTGACTACACTTGTGCCATGATGTTGGTCAGTTGTTCAAACCTCAAACCTCAAATACCTCTGGCGGAACGATCTGGTTGTTCGTCCACTTCTAGACTTTAGTCTCGTTATAAAAATTCAATTTTACGTGCGCATCCGTTTTACATATTTAACTTATATGCATGCAGATTACTGGTTGCTCGTCTCTCAGGCAGATGGAGACTTCGTTGGAAACACTCCTAATTAGTAGGTTTTTACAATATGCTCGTTTGTTGGAGAGGGGCTGTGAGACTATTCCAGTAGGGCCCTGTTACCCTCAGGTTGAGTTCAATGCAGTGAGGCGCCACTGGCCGAATTGTTAAGAAAGATGGGTTCTCATTCAGACGACCCTAGTTTAAATGTCAGTATGGTGATACAACTGAAGGAGTCAAATGACCGAATACTTACTTCTATGGAAGATTTGGTCATAGCAACGTCGCAAATTGGGTAAATGACCACAAGGAAGTCCAACCCTTGGACATCATAAGTGACACTGATGGCAATCTGTCCTCCAGAACTATCACCACCAACACCAACTTTGCTTCCGGGTTGTCCTCCAACGCTCTTTTTATTTTCCAAGACCCACTTCGTCACAACAACGCCATCGTCAAAGGGAGCATACCCTTTATTATCTGGCAGCCACCGATAGTCGGAATTGACAATGATGCAGCCAGCCTCTTGAGCAAGAAGTTGCAATGAGGACTCGAAATATTTGCGTTCAAACATACACAGGCCACCTCCATGGAAGTAAATTAGAATAGCAGGGGTTGCAGCCAGTTTGTTCGGCTTGTAGACGGATGCTGCGATTCCATCCTTGCTGTATGGTGAAGGAATTTTCAGCTCCTGTGTTTGGCCATCGAAGTTGACAGTTCCTGCCGCTGTAAGGCAAATATTATGGAATGCTTCTCGGGCCTCGGTGATCTGGTAGGTGCTGAAAGGCCTGGCGCCGTGCTTAATGAGATGAGCTAGGCAGTCGTGCGATTCCTGGTGGACTTTGTACTTACTGCTGAAGGCATCCCAGGGTCCGGCCATTATTTAATCTGTCAGTAGAGAGAACGAATCAGTCAGAAATTCGAATTTCGCGACAGATTGGGAGTCTTTGATTTTTGTAGCAGAATTTCTTTTTACTGTATGGCATAAATGAAAGATTAATATACTAATACATAAGGTAAACTAATCATCACGTCACATTCACACAAATTATTCAGTCAGTCAGTTAGTTAATCTGTCAGTCAGTCAATCAGTCAGTCAGTTAGTTAATTAACTTGTTGGGTTTTTCGTTTGTTTGTTAGTTATTAGTTAGAGTGGTACAGCTGGGAATGACAAGGGGATCTAGTCGACACTCTACGCTCAGAGTAACGGCAAGATCGACATTTAATCAAACTGCTACTAGCATCATCAAAATTAGAACTCCTCGCTGGCTGCTGAAGATGAGGATGAGGCACTTACGCGAATGTCCTGAGTAATGTAATTTCAGTTTTTAACTCAAGACTCAGTACAACGTTGATTAGTTAGTTACCTAGTTAGTTCTTTAGTTAGATCGTTGACTGGGGGGTTTTTCAGTTAATTAGTAGATTAAAAGTTAGACAGTAAATCATTCAGACGCTTGATATGACCACAATATTTCAGCTTCTGAGACAAGATGCTATTTACTGGCCAATCGTTCAGATCTTCTAAAATGTCATAATTTCTTCTCTTCTTTGTCCGTGGGATTCAGAGAATCTTTCTATAGCCTTTCAGCTCAAAAAACCTTGTTTTATGTATTAAGGGCTGGAAGATAGTCCACGACTCACATCTACCTAAAGTATTTCAGGATCCTCGCTGGTGCTACGGAGATCGTGCATTGCGCTGAGATTCTTCGGACTTAGGCTTGAGTTAGAAGTAGAACAGAGCACTTATGGGTTACCATCCTTGTGCCTTGTGTCAAGATGTTGGTACGTTGTTTAAGCAGATAAACAGCTGATACTAGACAAAAACTTCAAGTCAAGTTGCAAGTTATTTATTACGATAATCCGAGTCGCGCGACTGGAGCTCCGACCACTGTCAGTCAGTCAGTAAACATATCTGCCTCACCGCACATATAACCACTCAGTGCATAAAGCCTTAGATCTCTTCCGTATATCCCTCCACGTTTAAAACTAACATCTACATCAATCATCAGATGCAAGCATAATGTAAAAATAATTATGTCAAGGAAATAAATTATTTCACCGTTTTAAATTTTAACAAAGATTGTAGCTGTAATATGTAATTGTTACTGTAGTATGCACATGTCTGGATGCAGAGAAATATGCCAGGCAATAAATTGTGCAATCTTTTGTTTGTATCTTCTTTGTTCACTTAGTAAATTATTGCGAAAAAAAAAATATTTAAAAAGCCACTTACAATTTGAGTCACAAAATAAACCTCTGTTTTATCAGCACAATTATTTTGCTGTAAGCAGACTTTACAGAACGCGAAGCTCGTGCGGTCTTGTACTTGTCTTAGCTTTTATACAGACATTTTTTCTCGAAGATTGTGCAGTTTGGTAAAATGGCGACCCTACATTTATTCGAATCTCACTGTAGCAAACGTTACAGTTTGTAGAATACGTAGCCTTGTAAAGTGTCATAAACCTGTATTGACACCTATTGCGCAAAAGTAAACGCCTGAAAAGATCTCTTTCTTCTGTGTAAAAACGTTGAAAATAATGGCCGTTTTTTGTTCTGGCTGGGGAGATTTGGATATAATGAACATACAGTTTTAAAAGTATTTTACAGGCACATTGATAGTCTTCCCCTCCCTTCCACGAAATGTTGGTAGGGTCTGAAATGAAAAGAAGGGTAGCTTTTATAATCATAGGGAGATTAATTAAAATGGATGTTTTACTGAATGCAGAGATGTATCAGCTAGATTGCTTGCTTACTGCTGAGGTGGATAGGAATAAACTCACAGGGAGCAAGTACAGCAGGGATCTACCAGTCGTCAGTAGAAATTATCCTCGTCGATAAGTGTTTCGGCCCACGATTCCTAGACACTTTCGGAGGTGGGCCCACCTGAGTTCATGAAGCTCAGGGCTGGTACCCTGCTGCACGAAATTACCTGATGGTGTTGTCCTTTCGGATAGGGACAAGACGACTTGGTGGATTGCAGAAGGTACTGTGAGATAAGAAGTCGTCGCGGCAGCCTAATTAAAGCAGTCAGCATACCTGGACGACCGAGCGACAAGCTTACGATTTGTTTACCGGACACATGTTGGACTTTTTTTTAGCAGGTGTCAGAGGATCACTGGCAGACAATTCGGACACGATGGACTTTCAAGGGGTGAGAAACCCTTTTCCACTAGACACCCGTACCAGCTCACCGAGGCCCGTCCCCTACGTTGTTGCGTTGCGTGGACAATATACACTAGACTTGTTTGCTACCTCAGCAACAGCTACATGTGTGTGGGTTTTGTGTGTGTCTGTTCAGTGAAGTTAAATGTTATTTGGTTTATGTGCATTGATTGAGTGTGTGTGTGTGTGTGTGTGTGTGTGTGTGTGTTTGAGGGAGCGTACCTGTGTTTTTAATGTTTCATGTGATAGGTGGACAGGTCGGTCGGTCGGTAGGTAGATGGGCCCCTGGTTAGGTAGGTTGATGGTATAAAAGCTGTTTAAAGCAAAGGCCCCTGAAATCTATCAGACTCCGGTCCCTTGAGCTAACACACATAATCCCTTAATTTAAACAGTTATTTAGAACTAACGTTCTTGCAAGTATAAGCCGGTGCTGTATTTATTAGTGACTCGGCACATTAGTAATAACAATAAAACTGCGCCAAAAAAAATATATATTATAATATGCTTTTTTGTGTCGGCAGGCCTGATAAAGGGGTGGCGAGGGGGGGGGGGGGGGGGTTGGGGGTGGTGGTTTCCGCCGTAGCCTTGTTGCCAGGTTTGACTTTCGCCTGCTTGCCGGAATGTCTTTAGATTAAACAGCTAGACTAGACTTTTACGTGCGCAACGGTTCACACGGGGTACCTATCTCAATACCCAGAGACCATAGGGAATTACTCGAAGTTAAAGTCCACGTGAAAAACTCCCAGCCCTTACCGGGAATTGAACCCAGAACCTCTAACACTCCAGGCGGATACCACGTAGCCCCCCTGTACAAATATGAGTCTAATATCAAATGATCAATGGGTCACTGATGGAAACCAGTCCTGAACAAAATATTAAGGTAGGGAGGTATTTAAGGAGTTAGTTGTTTCAGGTAGGGAGGTATTTAAGGTGTTGGTTGTTTCAGGTAGGGAGGTATTTAAGGTGTTGGTTGTTTCAGGTAGGGAGGTATTTAAGGAGTTAGTTGTTTCAGGTAGGGAGGTATTTAAGGTGTTGGTTGTTTCAGGTAGGAAGGTATTTAAGGTGTTGGTTGTTTCAGGTAGGGAGGTATTTAAGGTGTTGGTTGTTTCAGGTAGGGAGGTATTTAAGGTGTTGGTTGTTTCAGGTAGGGAGGTATTTAAGGAGTTAGTTGTTTCAGGTAGGGAGGTATTTAAGGAGTTAGTTGTTTCAGGTAGGGAGGTATTTAAGGTGTTGGTTGTTTCAGGTAGGGAGGTATTTAAGGAGTTAGTTGTTTCAGGTAGGGAGGTATTTAAGGTGTTGGTTGTTTCAGGTAGGGAGGTATTTAAGGTGTTGGTTGTTTCAGGTAGGGAGGTATTTAAGGTGTTGGTTGTTTCAGGTAGGGAGGTATTTAAGGTGTTGGTTGTTTCAGGTAGGGAGGTATTTAGTGAGTTAGTTGTTTTAGGTAGGGAAGTATTTAAGGTGTTGGTTGTTTCAGGTAGGGAGGTATTTAAGGAGTTAGTTGTTTCAGGTAGGGAGGTATTTAAGGAGTTAGTTGTTTCAGGTAGGGAGGTATTTAAGGTGTTGGTTGTTTCAGGTAGGGGGGTATTTAAGGAGTTAGTTGTTTCAGGTAGGGAGGTATTTAAGGTGTTGGTTGTTTCAGGTAGGGAGGTATTTAAGGAGTTAGTTGTTTCAGGTAGGGAAGTATTTAAGGTGTTGGTTGTTTCAGGTAGGGAGGTATTTAAGGAGTTAGTTGTTTCAGGTAGGGAGGTATTTAAGGAGTTAGTTGTTTCAGGTAGGGAAGTATTTAAGGTGTTGGTTGTTTCAGGTAGGGAGGTATTTAAGGAGTTAGTTGTTTCAGGTAGGGAAGTATTTAAGGTGTTGGTTGTTTCAGGTAGGGAGGTATTTAAGGAGTTAGTTGTTTCAGGTAGGGAGGTATTTAAGGTGTTGGTTGTTTCAGGTAGGGAGGTATTTAAGGTGTTGGTTGTTTGAGGTAGGGAGGTATTTAAGGAGTTAGTTGTTTCAGGTAGGGAGGTATTTAAGGTGTTGGTTGTTTCAGGTAGGGAGGTATTTAAGGAGTTAGTTGTTTCAGGTAGGGAAGTATTTAAGGTGTTGGTTGTTTCAGGTAGGGAGGTATTTAAGGTGTTGGTTGTTTCAGGTAGGGAGGTATTTAGTGAGTTAGTTGTTTCAGGTAGGGAAGTATTTAAGGTGTTGGTTGTTTCAGGTAGGGAGGTATTTAAGGAGTTAGTTGTTTCAGGTAGGGAGGTATTTAAGGAGTTAGTTGTTTCAGGTAGGGAGGTATTTAAGGTGTTGGTTGTTTCAGGTAGGGGGGTATTTAAGGAGTTAGTTGTTTCAGGTAGGGAGGTATTTAAGGTGTTGGTTGTTTTTAAGGTAGGGAGGTATTTTTAAGGTGTTAGGTTGTTTCAGGTAGGGAGGTATTTAAGGTGTTAGTTGTTTCAGGTAGGGAGGTATTTAAGGTGTTAGTTAGGGGGTTTCAGGTAGGAGGGTATTTAAGGTGTTAGTTGTTTCAGGTAGGGAGGTATTTAAGGTGTTAGTTGTTTCAGGTAGGGAGGTATTTAAGGTGTTAGTTGTTTCAGGTAGGGAGGTATTTAAGGTGTTGGTTGTTTCAGGTAGGGAGGTATTTAAGGTGTTGGTTGTTTCAGGTAGGGAGGTATTTAAGGTGTTGGTTGTTTCAGGTAGGGAGGTATTTAAGGTGTTAGTTGTTTCAGGTAGGGAGGTATT